CAACTGTCATGCAAACATGAGTACACCGTTGCTCTTGGACTTACTATAAATGTGGAGAATGCGGTAATCTGGTCTGATCATTTTCAAGATCATGACTGATCCTGGCCATCTGGTTAAGACCAGTCCCACACCGAATGTTAAGCCATGCATTCGACCAAGTGCAGTTCCTTCTATACAACTGGACATCGCCGGCACGCCGAAGTGAGTATGTGTGTGCTTAAAAAGGAAAAATACACTCACCCCTTAATTAAGGGTGAGTGTCAGGGGCGTAGCCAGGGTTTAGCGACGGGGGAGGGCAAGTTTGCACGAGCGAGTCCCAGCCGCATTGACAACACGTCTATGCACTGTGAACTGAACTGACAAACCCGACAACCGCTAAAAGGCACAGTACCTAGCGCATCAATGAGCTACCAATATTGGTTTGCCCTGGTGCCTTGAACATTTGTTTCAGCTGCGTGCCGTACATGTTTGCCCACCTATATGCGAGTCGTGTTACTAATGAACCACTTTTGGACTCTTCGTGTCAGTGCCCATGCTAGTGTCTGAGATTTAAAACAAAGGTATTATTTGTCTGGTCACCGAAGTTCGGGATTAACATTACAGTAATATCAGTGTTAAAAAGCTGCTGCTGTGCCTAAACCATAGACCTTGAACCTCACGAGCAGAGACTGAATGGAGGGAGGGGGGTGCCTCGGATGGCCGCGCTGTTCTCGTGTATTATTGCGTCGGAAAACAGTAATGGCGGCGCCACCCCCCTGGGAGCAGCCGATGCACTGAAATGGGACCATGAAACGGGGCCATCCAGACAAATCTGTGGCCATGGCCAGGAGCGGTAGATATGAGAATGGTGCGCGCAGTGCAGTACTCGTCGGCCGTTGACCGTCCCTCTTACCCGCTCGGATTATGTCACGCTGGACCGCAAAAAAGTGGTTGTGTATGAAAACAAGCATGCGATAACCAAAGAAAGGGCATGTCCGGGTCCAACACGTTTTGCTGTCGCAATGAGAAACAACACCGGTGGCTTGTAATACGGTCTGATTAATGCGCCTGTCAGGTACGTGGAAATGACTGTATTTCGTTGTGTCGCAGATCTAAGATCCAGCTGTGGCGGAAATGGCAGGGCATGCGGACGCTGTGGAGGCCGCCTACCAGCAAATAGTCGCGAGGCCTCCAGTGCCCGCTCTGAACGAATTCGGCGAGGACGACGAGGTCAACGAGTCGGGCGAAGACAAGCCTCATGGTGGTGACGGCGAGAGAACCGAAAACGGCCCCCGCCGCGGCGACGAGATAGGACGAGGTCAACATCCAGCACGGGGCGCTGACCCTCGTTGCCGGCTTCGTGGCGGCCAAGTGCAAACACCTCGATCCAAGTATGGGAACATGTCGACCCGAGAGGCACCACCCAGCTGTGTGCCAGACAGCTCGGATACACGCGATTAGCCAAGGTGGTCTGGTGGTACCGTTGCCGGCCTAGACGAGCGTTGTCCGAGGCTTTCAAGATCGTTTCTCAGCTAGTGATGGGCCGGGACATGGACTGAGACATTGGTATCGTCGACCGCCTCACAAAGCTCCTGCTGAGCAGTTCTGCGCTGGACAAGCGGATTGCTCGGTAGCTGGTGACGACGCGCATCCATCTGCGCCTCGGATGGCTTAATCAGGCTGGGGCTGAGCGGGCTGCTGCCAGGCTCGCAGCTAGACAAGGTGCGACATCAGGTGGACAGTCTTCAGTGAACATCGTTGTGCTTATATGAACATACGTAAGTAAGTGACCTTACGTGAGTATCGTGCCTTCTTTGTCTTGCATGTGTCTGTCTGGGGTATAGACGGTTCCTTCGCAGATAAACGTTTGGGTTGATTCAGACTGGTGATCATGTCGCATAACCTCTAGATTTAAGCTGAAAAATATATAATTGTGTTCTCCGCCCCCCCCCCCCTCCTCCCCTTCCTCGCCAAGTAGGCGTAATGAAGTGTATGCTGGGCGCAAGAATAGTTTTAGTGAAATACGGTGACTTATGAGTCATACGTGTGTTCGATGAATTGGCTGCATGGCGGCACGGATATTTTCTTGATTAACGCCACGCACCACGACCTTCAGAGGCTTCGTGTCATAGTTGACGCAATGTGCAATGTCCACAATGTGCTATATTCTACCAGAGAGCACACCACTTCCGTCGTCTCAAACTGCCGCCATCACACACCAGTGCAACCAGGCGCGTCATGATGTATAGTGCTGAGGTTCAACGCGACAAGTTCGGATGATGATCCTGGTGTCGGTCAGGTCCCTCTTTGGCAGTGGCTGGACCTTGGGCAGGCTCGCCAGCCTGCCTTTAAGCAGCTGTAGGCTGGCGAACTTCAATACATCGCCATAGACTCAATGTTTGGCATCCTCAGCAAGTGGGAGTGCCATGGCACACAGGCTCCCGGTTCCTAAGCCTATGTTGGCTGTTATACACCCAGCGTGGCAAAAAAACTTCATATTTCCTCATAGTACTTCTTGAAGCGCCCTGTGGCGATCACCAGACTGCATTTGTTAGTAGGTGCACCGGTGTAGCAGACGCGAAGGTAATGCTGGCTGAGCGGTGATGTCAAGCTGCGACCTTGTGACGTCACTGTAATGGTGAAGGGAAAGTGCCGTAAAAATCCCCGGATGATCATACCTTGCTACATAACCTTGGCGCGGTCAGGGAAAAGGGTTCTCGCCCGACGTAATCGGTGCGTTACCGGGAGGACGGTGATGGTAAAATGTCCAAAAATGCGTGACATGATTTATTGACGATCCCCATATCGCACTTGCTGTCGTAGTCCACTAGCCATCGGCGGACAGTTCGATGCTAAAGACGAAGTGTCTGGAAGGCATGAACAGTGCCTGGAAAGCGCCTGAAGTAAATGACGACGAGGGTAAACATTTTCTGGGCTCTACGTTCGTCAACTGACGTCATTTCCTTCGCCAGCACTGGAACACTGGAGCGGTACGCTGAGAGGTATTTCATGTGTATGAGCACGAACGCGGATAAGTGCCGCGATACCTATTACTTTGTTTCCCACAGTTTGCAACTCTCGCACTCTTAGTCCATTGGGAAGAAGCTGAGCATTCATTTTATAATGTACTGTTGCTCATTAGATTTTGAATGAAATTGCGCTGCTCTAGTTTTGAGCGCCGCACCGCCAGTAAAGAAGGCGCCAGGCGAATTTGTGATAAAACTGCACTGTTTACCTCTGCTGGCGCATTACAAGTTTGTAAGCGGTCGTGCTAAACATATGTTTCAAACTAGCCTTCCAAACATATGTTCATTTTACTCCTCGATATAGCAAAAGCGTGGATTTATCCACGGAAGATGTGTCGAGGTTTCGCCGTTGAGTCCGGCCTGGAGGCAGAAACAGGAGACATGAAAAGGGTGGCAGCAAACGGCGGACGGCAAAGGGCGTTCTGAGGAAGCTTCGCGTCGCCATAGAGTTCGAACAGCGGCGAATACATACCGAGGCAACATGTTGGAACTTGATCTGATCTCGCATATACTTTGAGCTGAAATGATCATGACAGCCGCAGTTATACCTGCAACGCTTTAGGGAGCTCTATGCTTTTTATTCTGGTGTCTTGCAAACCGTAAAACTTTTCGTTCTGCGGCCGACATTTTTGATGGGAAAGGAAGATGTTTGGTATGGTCTCCTTATGATTAACCCCTAGTTGAGGTAGCGGACGAGTAAGATTGAGAAACACGTCTTTCCCTACTTGACGATTGACTCTTGGTTGACTTAATACTAACCCATATGCTTGCTGCAAAACATTTTAGGTGTCTGACGCTTGTGGAAATGGCTAAGAAACATGCACCGCACACAAATGACTAAAAGTAAAAAGATAACATTCCAACCACCCTGCTTGTATTCATTGAAAGCTTTAGGTGTAATATATACCCATTCTTCAGCATGATGAAACAATGGCATTCATAACAAAAGATTTAGGCACACACTAAGAAAAACACAAGAAGTCACATGCAATCAACATACTTATCCTTCTGACGAAGCGAAAGAAGAATAGATGACTGTTTCTTTTTTTCATTTCAGCCGTAGACAAATAATGCAAACAGTTGACAAAAAAAAAACACATGCAATGCACTTACAATATCAATACGACTACAGTACACGTCTTCTGAATGTTGTTATGTGACATGACCACTAATTTATACCGCGTATACATGTTCAACATGTACATAGTTTTTCCACTTCTCGAAACCGATTCAAAAGCGACGCATACGGAATATTACAACGCTAAAACAACATAACGCACGCGTGTACAAATTTCCTGACACGAAGCCCGCTATCGCATCCCGTATTACACATTTCACCAAGCCGACTTCACTGTTTCCTAGTCTTTTAAGTTCAAAGTGTGATATTCACTCGCTATTGGTACTCCCGGTTTTGCATTCAGAAGATTGTCGCTGCTGTTCTACAACTGAAAATATCCGCTCTTTCTTTTTCCAGGTTGAATAATACTCTAAAACACCCACTAGCGTTGTTTTGCCATAATTCAAAAACAAGCCGTGTGTAACGAAACATGTGACGTTGTCTACAAGTTGCAGACGTTGCGTTACAAACCTGGCATCTTACGTTACATGTTAGACCGAGATCTCACGCATTATTTTGGACCGTCATAGTGGTTGTCCATGTGGCCATATTGAAGCCGCGAGGGCTATTGTCTCGGAATGCATCTGTTTCAGTCGCTAGATGGATTTTTCACCGCACCGACTATGCAGCAATGTCACTGTTGGCCGAGAAACAGCAATGACGTAGGTCAATATATATTTCAGGTGCAATTTGCGAATAAGCATATGTGTTACCACGGAAGTTCGAGCAGACATGCCGTCTAAAGCTACGTAAGCTATGCATCTGCTGATGTGCATAACATCAAGATATGGTCAATTGGCTATTTCTACTGGCACGCAGTGACTTTATAAAGCCACCAGCGTACAAAGCAAACAGCGCGTCTAAACTTATTCTCCTCCAAAGTGTGCGATTTATTTGCACTGAACCACCCCTTGGTGCAGTCTCAACACCATTGGCTTCAGTTGCTGTTGCTTTTGTCCGGCTCTGACCGCCTGTATATCCAGCTAAAACTCGTTTATTTATTGCTGTTTTCAGGCAGACAGCGTGCGCTACTTTGTACCTTTGTATTATGTTGCCAATTTCAGCCGTATAATCTTACGTTACAACATAGACAGAGCATTGGTTTGCCATGGGACGTGTCACGTATGAGGGTTCAGTGATCCAGCGACCCAGTAAGTCCAATCTGATCGCGAGGAACTGGTGGCCCCAAACGCCGAAGCCGGCCAGCCGTCTCGGAGGCGTCCGGTCCAGTCTCCAAGGATCACTTCCCACTGTTCTGCATCTGCTGCTTCAGCCGGTCGATGTAGCTGTCCGCCGCGTCGCCGCCGGTGCCGGCGATTTCGTCCGGTATCTCCACCCCCACTGCAGGTGGCGATACAGACCGTCAGTGGGGCCTCGTGGTGCCGCGGGGCTACCACAGACCACAGACAATTCGTGGATTGATTCAATCAGTGAAGCGCTCTGGCGCTGAAGCCAAGAGGCCTGACGCCTGTTTTTTTACTTTTGTAGAATAGTTTTTCTATCAGTGCCTATTACAAAGACGTCTTATGAAACACTCCATTCTGGGCCCTGGGTGCTGTCCTAGTGGTGTACATCTATCACACATCACTTAAACATGATCAGTCCTTTTACAAAGACGTCTCATGAAACACTCCATTCGAACAACGGCCTGGTCAGATACAAAAAAAGAAAATGGAGTGTGACGCACATTAATTCGCACATGACCTGTCCCAGCACGCTTCCCAAAAACCGATTCTGAAGTCAACTCTGAAAAAGATGGAGAGCTCCACAGACTCTGGCAAGCTGTGTCAAAATTATGATTACTAAAATTCATCGAGTTTACCGAAGCTATCACTGGCAATCTAGAATGCATCTATAGAATACCATCGTGGTCAATTTGATCCTACGTGTAAGTGTGTGTGTGTGTGTGTGTGTGTGTGTGTGTGTGTGTGTGTGTGTGTGTGTGTGTGTGTGTGTGTGTGTGTGTGTGTGTGTGTGGTGTGTGTGTGCGTGTGTGTTGTGTGTTGTGTGTGTGTGTGTGTGTGTGTGTGTGTGTGTGTGTGTGTGTGTGTGTGTGTGTGTGTGTGTGTGTGTGTGTGTGTGTTTGTTGTCTGCTGGTTGTTAGAGTGTGTGGAGTTTGGATAGTGTGCGATAATTTTACCAGTCTCTGATATGACGAAGGGCATAATAAAAAGGCACTGTTGTAAGACGCACACGAATGCATTCATTTCCAACTGCACTGGAACGATGAATAACAGCAACAGACACGGTGTATGAATGGCCATGAATGCTTAAGTGTATAGGGCATCTTTCACAGCCGAGCACTCAAAATTGTTCAGCAGGCTATCCAGTTGGGTTATCCGGACCCCAGCTGCTCGCAGCAGCTTTCGTTGCCAGATCAGTATCTCCCCGGGGGTCCCGTCGACACATTGCCGAACAAAAGACTTCCAAGTCGCATCTGGAATTAGACGGCGAACGGCGCATCTGCTGGCGACGTGAAATGCCGACTTTACATGACAGGTGAAGCCGGGAAAAGGGCTGAGAAGCGTCTGCCCCTCTGCTATGTTTTTTTTTTAAAGATCTGCTGGGGCATGACGTGGCGCATCAACGCCCAGATACAACTGTACCGATGTTCACCATCCACAGCTGTTCACGCGTCTCCCGCTGTTCGGTCTCCGCTGAAGCATGACAGAAAGATTGCAAACAGTACGGGGAAGCTTTCCCAAATGAGTTGGTGAAATTAAAGACTTTTGATTGGGGCTAATATTTGTTACGGTACCTGTCCATGATGGTCACAAAAGTCTTAACTCTAACCGTTGCAATGCCAAGTGCTGCAAATTCCGCAAAAGCCAGGGAGCTTCTACATCCATCCATTGCATCCTTCAAAGCAGGGAGAAAAGTGTGGGCGTCATGCTTTGCACCGTTTGTTAACCTGTGATCACGCGAACTATGCATAAGTGATATATTGCAGTTTTACGGGCCGCTGTGCACAAAACTGAGCAAATAATCATCTCGCACCCACCTCTGGTGACCGCTTTAAGTGATATTCATAAACATCCCTCCCACATTTTAGCTCGAATGAAGTTAATTACTTCATAACTTGTAAAGTCATGGAAGTCACTGGAAATGCGCGTGTCTTATTTGGCCACTTGCATCGTTCTCCATTTTATGCACTAATTGCATCAAATTGATTTTCTTATTAATTCAGCTTTTATTCATCTCTTATTAATTCATCCAGAATCAGAATTAGCAATGTAGAATGGCATGAATTAACGATTGATGCGACTTACTCGTAAAAATGCGTCCAATTCATGTTACTTCGATTCGGTGCTCAAAAATGCTGAGTCAAATCGATTCGAACCAGGGGAGGGTGAAAAGAGCACATCCCTTCTATGTGCCGACAAATGCGAACCGACGATACTTTTTTGCAACAAGCATGTTCTGAAATTTGGCACAAAACAGCATGCAACACAAACAAACCTTTGTTCGCTATACTGAATTTCAAACCGACTTTAGCGTTGTCAACTTCAGGTGACTGGGGCAAACTACGAAAGCTTTGTCGCAGATCCTCAATACTGCTTATCCACTTGATTTCACGCTTTCAAATTATGCAGTGGGCACATTTGAGACACTCGCGTAACACTTAGTTTCAGTGGGCATAACCGAAGCTTGAATATTCTCAATGGCGCTTCACGATTGTTATCACATGCACGTGACCTCAATGGTCGAGGTGATTTGTCTGCCACACGCAGGCTTAGTGTGCGGGCAGCACTGCACCAGCCAGCCAGATGAGCCACGGCGCGGCGGACTATCGCTGAGCGCGGAAAACGCTATCTTATTAAAGGTAAACAGCTAAGACGTGCAGGCATGGTGATGCAAGCCCAGTGACCTCTAGAGCACATCTGGACAGGATCAGATTTGCAGAGAGGCTTGGTTGTGCACCCACGTTGCACTGTACTTACGATATCGCTTCATTGGTCTTTGGATGCGACGAAATCCATAAAATCTAGGTCGCTCCACACTTGACTGATATGGCAGCACGTTTTGCAATCTTCGGACTCCAAGAATGGGTTCTGAAACAGAAGTGATATTTTATTCATAGGTCAGATTGGACGTGTATCTGACACGCCCAGACCTGCCGCGGTCTGCCGCCGCCGACCCTGGGTCAGCGGTCGTTTGCCCGTAGCCCCCGGCGGTGGGTCACGTGACCAGGTGGCAAGGTCGGCACGGTGCGGGGCGCGCGGTGGGCAGAGGGATTCGGCGGCCGTAGTAAACAGTGTTCTGCTTGAAGCTGCACCACCGAAACAATATGTCGGAAACGTGTAAACATACATACATACATACACACACACACACACACACATATATATATATATATATATATATATATATATATATATATATATATATATATGAGCTGGAAGAAAACAAGTCGACATCAAAAGAAAGCGTTTGTTTTCTCTTAATCATGTGCTGGGTACAAATGACGCCTTTCATCAGTCTTCTATGACGATTACTTGCTCCAGACGATGCATACAGGCAGGAATTCAAGCATTTGGCTTATTGAAGATGTTTAGTTATGGTGGAAGTGTTCCAAGACGAGCACTAAATAATGATAATAACTGGCAGCGTTTCAGCCTCAAGAAATCCCAAACAGCTGAACCATTACCAATGAAAAACTACAGAATGCTTACAACTCAAAGACAATGCTCCACATTTGAAGACAGTGAAGCAGGCATCATATATGATGAAATAAGCTCACTTATACCTAATGGTATACCTTTAAGTGGAAATGTTGCTCTAGACGACACACTTCCTCTGTTTGGTAGGCATGTTCCCCAATGCGTCATTGTATGATTACGTCCTCGTACCTCGCACAATATTGAGAGCCAGTTGACGGTCGTTATATCTGGAAGTCGTGCTCACGAACGCCAGACACGGACGACTAGACAGTTGTATTTTCCTTGGCCTTGTTGGCCGCATGGCTGATGGAATGACTGGATTGGAATGACGCTATTATGGCGTCATGGATGCACTAGGTGACCTCGCAATAGCCTCTCAGAAATTCTCTGCACATATTCGCAGGCGACTCAGAAGCTAGATTGTTTTAAGGTCTTAAGAAGGACAGGGCTGTGAAATGTACCAAACGATCTTCGAGATGACGATTTCAGTAAATACCCCTACACAAATATGGAACACTCCCTTAAATAATTGAACTCGCTGCAACTGAACATTTGAAACTGATTTGTATCCCTGGGATTATGCTTTGCTGGACCTGGGCCACATTGCAGTGAAAAAGTGGCACAGTACCAAAAAATTGTCGACAGCAAGTCTTTTGACGTCAAATACTACGCAAATGTCAGACAGTCTTCGCAAATGTCACTAAGCGTGCAGCCAACATTACGTATTTTTAGCACTATCTAGTATTGCTAATGCACTGTTACTAATGCAAGGTATTCTACGTCAGTACATGTTTGTACTTTGCGTTTAACTTGACGCAATGGACGAAAATCCCGTGGTAATTGAAAACACTACAATCGTCTTTTGATTTCCCGCAGGCCCTTTTCTAAGACCAAAACTTTGCTGAATTATCACACCGTAAAGAGAGTCTTGCAAGTAGAGAGGAGGTGACCCAATTCATCAGGAACCAACATTGTCACTTTCTGCGCGCTCGATTCGAAAACGTCTTTTGGTAGCCCGATCCGAAGCCCGATACCTTGAGACACGTGCACCATTACGAATCTTGGCTTACAATCGTGCTATCATGCAATCAGGACTAATATTTGGTTTCATGGCTGGAATTTCGCACTCCTGAACACCGTCCATTCGCATGCGGGGTGGTTCACTTTTCTTTGGATAGACACCCAGTGTGTCGTGTAGGTCTCTAGATAGGTTAAGAACGCCACACGTCAAATGCGGGTATATATGCTCCTTTTATGACGATACTGCATGGTCTTAAGTTATACAAAAAACGCATAATGTTCGTGCGAATGTCCAATGCAACAAGGGCACCACTGACCTTCCAGGTATGGGCTGCGAATGCACGATGCAACAAGGGCACCACTGACCTTCCAGATATAAGCTGCGAATGCCCAGTGCAACAAGGACACCACTGACCTTCCAGGTATGGACTGCGAATGCTCAATGCAGCACGTGCACCATCGACCTTCCAGGCACGAGCTGCGAATGCCCAATGCAACACGTGCACCACTGACCTTCCAGGTACTGGTTGCGAATACCCAATGCAGCGCGTGCACCACTGACCTTAATATACGGGTTGCGAATGACCAATGCAGCACGAGCACCACTGACCTTCCAGGTATGGGCTGCGAATGCCCAATGCAACACGTGCACCACTGACCTTCCAGGTATGGGCTGTGAATGCCCCGTGCAACACGCGCACCACTGACCTCCCAGGTACGGGCTACGGATCTTCTCCAGGCTGCTGACGGGCATGGCATCGTACTCGAGCTCCAGCCTTCGACCGGCGCCAGCGGCCAGCAGCAGCCAGAAGCCGACCAGCGCGCGGAAGCCGTACCGAGTTACCATGGCGACGGCGGCTCTGCAACGGTATGACGTGCCAGCCCAACAGATCCAGCAGCCCATGCCCGCCGAGCCCGACGCACAGGTCACACCGAGAGCCAATCAGCAGCGGTTGACAACCCACGCCCGCCGAGCCCGACGCACAGGTCACACCGAGAGCCAATCAGCAGCGGTTGACAACCCACGCCCGCCGAACCCGACGCACAGGTCACACCGAGAGCCAATCAGCAGCGAGTCACCCGACCGCAGCGACGTGGAACGCCGCAAATTGGTGGGCGGTCCGTGAGCAACGCGACAGGTGTGCGATAAACCGAAACGGGCGACACATGTTGAAAGACATACCACTCCGTCCTGTACAGGCCTCCGCGTGTGGCTGTGCTCTGCTCCGTCTAGCCGCCAACGATCAGGACTCGGACCCAGGAGGATTCAAGGCGTCTGGAGAGAAATTCCTTGTTTGGCATACATGCGACCAATCAAAAAGTTATGAGAGGTAGGCAGCGAAGAAGCCGCTCCCAAGGGATATCGCAGTTTTTCTCGGCAGGGCCTGGGTGATGCCACGATCTAGGCCAACCTCAAGTTGCCAGTCCGTCCAGGTCACACCCAGAATCATTTTCCTCTCCAAAGTACTCCACGGACATCCGCGTCAGCTTTCCTACGCTCAAGGGCAAACTTCATGTCGTATTCCTTCTTATGGAAAACTATTCACGCGACAGTTTGTATGGCATACATCAGCATAACACTTAACCGTACGCGAATAATCGTAAGTTCAAGTGTTCGTAAACGTTCACAATGTAAAACTGTATGTCCGCATGATTTTTCAAATGCATTTGTTCATTTGTTTACTTGTTTATTTAGCACATAATCGGTCCACAGGCAAAAGCCCAATTGCGGAAGCAGTCCAGTTTAAAAAATAAATACGCGACACGCACAAACAAAAATTTACCCGCAACACAACACACACACACACACACACACACGCATGCACATTGCCACACAGTCACGCATGCACCTTACACGCTGACACAACGGTCATAAAAAATGCTCTACGAGTGCCGGCGAACCCAACAAACCACATCAGAACAATTTTGTTAGCTGGGAAAAGTCACTTGTTAGAAATGCTAGTGGAAAAAATTGCAGGCAACGGCTAGACAAGCGGCAAATCTTTTCACCAGTGTTGACCCTTGTTAGAGTAGGCGAAAAGCTCATAATCCAGTGGAGGACACTGGGAATGAGTATTCGAACCAAACCACATGAGAAACCGGTGGTGGTAGTCGTTCGAACCGGGTGAGATGGCAAACGGGAGCATCGCTTCAAACAACGCTACCGCACTCAGTGATTTCACATGGCGTTGAAGAGACACATCAAGTCCTTTTGATTTAACTGCGCTTGACCAGGACATGACGGCTTGAGACAGTCCAATCTATGTGATTAGCAAAGATGAGCTGGTGTCCAGGGGACACCAAGATTGCGAATCTGCTGGCAGCTATCTGAGCGTCGATTATTTAGTGCATATGGGCAATGTACAAGTGACGTGCGGAGGGTGAATGAGATGGCATTGCACTTAGCTTGGTTCAATTTCAGGCCCCAGTTTTTGGACCATTCACAAAGGCGATCCAAATCCGCCTGAAGTGTAATGCAATCTGCTTCGTTGTCGATTTGGCGATAAATTTTCACATCATCGGCGTATGTAAGTCGCTCTTTCTCTCTCTCTCTCTCTCAGTTTTATCAGACATCTGCCAGAAAGCACGAACATCAACGGTTCCAAGATGCTGCCTCTCGTAGCAACTGATCGCATTCAGCCAAACTGCTTGCCGTTCAGCACCAGGCGTTATAACGGTTACTCAAGTACGACTCCAGCCAGCTGTACGCGTGGCCAGTGGCGCAAAAATAATGGCCAAGCCTTGTATGGTAGAAGAAGGCGACTAACGCTGGTGAATGCTGATGCGTTTTTGGTGTAAATTGGAATTGCTTGCTTACATTTTGAGATAAATGTCCAGCAGTGTTAAAAAAACATGCTGTATGTAGTTGGATTATACGGCACCTTACAGTACAGTACAGTAAAGCTGTATAGTCCAGGCGCATCGGGCAGAGGCGGGTTAGAGCGAGAAAACCACAATACACGGACGTTAGGGCCACAAAACTTACCGCCAAAACACATATTCAGACAATTGGTACCCTCCTGATCGTCCTCGTGCACGTTGCCATCGCGTTCAAGAGAGGGAGACATGTGCGTTGATGACTTCAAGCACTTAACGAAGGACCAATAACGCTTCGGGTTGTCCTTAGTCTCCCAACGGACCCAGCGCGTGCTCGCGCAATTAAGCATCCACTGCGGTTTCAAAGTCGGCTCTGATAGTATGTAAGGAAGTGCGGTGTCCAGCAATATTTTCGGTGGTCGGACACGTCTTCGTACGTCTGTAATCCAACTCTCTGCCACGCAGCAAGTCTCGAACGAACCGGTCAAACCATGGAGGAAGTTCCTTTCGGAGCTAGACCACATGCATGAAGCCTGCCGTGGCCGCGAACACAAGGTCACGGGACAGGCGGTCAGCGAACGTCAGCAATTAAATCATTTAAAATACGCCGAGCAATAAGCCTGATTGCATCGTATTTCCTAGAAAACACGCTTCCTTTGCATCACATTTCTTACAGGACACAGTTGTTTGCATATGTATGTTTTGGAAGCGCATTTGCTCACATACACAAATACGCGCCTCCCTTTTCTTACATACACAAAGCTTCTTATCGTCTTTCTTCGTGAACCCCTATTCGCATGGTATTTTTTGCATACTCAATACCTAAGCTTAGAGTGATGGAAATCAGTAATATCAATGACGCATAGCAGCCGAGAACCGATAACGGATATAAATTAGTAACCGACAACGGGTGAAACAGTGATGAAAAGGGGTGAAGATCAATACACTTTGTTTCCTGCATGATGCAGAAACGTACCTCAATCCAATAAAGAAAAACATAAATATCCAGATTCAGAATCTTCTGGGCTGTTTCCTCGCGTTACATGTGTTCATGTAAGACCATATTAACGGAGCCCTTTTGAGAAATGTCTGATGCGATTGGGATCCATTGTCTCCAAGTAAGTCTACATGTGGCGGTCGTATATTTAACAGCGTGATGTTTTTCTTTTAGGATGAATCAGCATTGAAGCTACAGGAAATGAGCAAAGGCAGCAGCAGTCACGCTGTACCCCAGCGGCAGTAGTCATATTATTTTCCATGTGCTAGTACAAATAGTTTTTGCACCAAGTTTCTCGGATGTGAGGAGTTGCGAACGTCAAGTCTTCTTAGTACAAGTGCTCACGTACGACAAATTGCGCGACATTCGGGATACGAAGGTCTACAAGGATCTCTGACCCCAAGGTTTGCGTTTCCAGGCTTACGCACGAAGCTTTGCGTTCAAACGACAGTGATACGAAGATGTGTGCACGACATTTTGATACGAAGCAATGCGCTACGAGTAAATGTGGTATATGTCCGCTACCGAGAGCACTGGTCTGTCGGTTAACGCGCGCTCGGGTGGGGGTCAAATTCACCCTCCAAAGGGTTTTTTTCCTGAATGGTTTCCGAACGGGACGATGTACCCGCGCCAAAATTTGCATAGCTATAGACAATCGAATAGCAAATTGTGTGGCATCAATAATTTAGACGTACCTTTTAAGGTCGCTGACCTACAGCAGGTCAAATTCAGGCTATGTATTTAGATAGGGCAATTTCTAGGGAAGCTTTCACTCTAATGCGACAACGGAGTGTTGAACAAGATAATACATCTCTGAGATAATTTCTGAGGCAACACAAGAATGAAATGACCTAATTCCATTGATCTAAGGACGGGCATGAAGGTCAGACCAAGGTCAAAAGCAACCTACTTTATTGCGCTGGAGTTTTCTGTATGGGGTAGCCTCTGGTGCTCATTTCGAATTTATTGATAACAGAAACCGCATCACACATTCCAAAATTTGCATAGCTATAGACAATCGAATAGCAAATTGTGTGGCATCAATAATTTAGACGTACCTTTTAAGGTCGCTGACCTACAGCAGGTCAAATTCAGGCTATGTATTTAGATAGGGCAATTTCTAGGGAAGCTTTCACTCTAATGCGACAACGGAGTGTTGAACAAGATAATACATCTCTGAGATAATTTCTGAGGCAACACAAGAATGAAATGACCTAATTCCATTGATCTAAGGACGGGTATGAAGGTCAGACCAAGGTCAAAAGCAACCTACTTTATTGCGCTGGAGTTTTCTGTATGGGGTAGCCTCTGGTGCTCATTTCGAATTTATTGATAACAGAAACCGCATCATACATTTTCTATGAACTTGTTAAAGGTCAGAATATGTCACTGATCTGAAATGACTCAGGTTGGCACTTTTTCTAAGAAACATATTGCCTAGCGCAGTCTTTGTCGCTTATTTAATTGCACAGCTCAATGCAGTCCTGCATGATTTTAGTCACCATGATCTTCAAAGGTCAAAAAAGATCACTGAGGTGAAATGAGCATGCGACCTGGCGATTATAACAGGAATCTAGATTCTGGGGACACTTTGGAGACCAAATTGGGGCTAAGCCTTGTTTGACCTCATTTGATCTGAAGGCGATGATCTTGAAACCTCAAACTTAAAGGCTAAGTGAGCTCACGTACAGGTCAACACACCTTAAAAATTTGGTGCCTCTGTCCTTCTTAGTTCCTGAAATCTGAAGAGGGTCAAATTGACCCCCGCCCGCGCGAAGAGCACCCAACTCGGCCATCCGGGCACGTGTTAACACCACGGGGCGACTAGTAGCGTGGAGGCGGAGGCACCTGTCACTCCAAACAACACGAGACTTCGAGACTTCGACGAGACCGACTTCACAAACCCTCTTCGTGACCGTCAACACGAGGACCGCAGCGCGCCTTCCGTATGGCCGGAAGTTTCGCCTGTGTGTAATCTCAGCACACTCGCCCCCCCCCCCCTAGCCGAGAGCAGCAGCCATGCCCGTCCCGCCAATGGCACTGTCA